TTTTCATCTTAATCATTGCTATTTTAAAATGGGTAGATCGATAACGGAAGATTTGCGGTTAAAGGCCCACTGGGGAAGAAAAACGTGATACGCAGTGCTGATGAGTCCCGACAAGGCAGACACAAATATTCAATGTTCATTGTTAGTCTTCACATAACACGGTTTTGAATAAAAGATATTTTTCGTTTGTAGTAGAACAGTTAGTATTCAATACAAAAACAGTATTCCATGCGTTTCCGGCGATTGTGTACTTTGAAGGATCAAATTTGAATTCGATTAAGGGGGCTAATAAGTCCTATTTTAATTCCTAGTTATTGACGAATTGTATTGATTTAATAAAGATTTATGAATTGATCGGAGTTTCCGTACCGGAAACCAACGCAGAAGTCACTATCTAGCTCATCTACTGCACCATGTTCCCCGCTAATATTGATTCAATATTTGGCTTTCTGTATATGGTTTTGATAAACGAAAATCAACTATAACCAAACAGTATTTCAAATGCTGTCAACAACTATGGGATATATGGTAGTGAGACAATTCCAAATATAAGTATGCGTTTAAATGAAAAGCGAGTACGGAAACGGAAGAGAATCACTTCATTTTTGATGGCCATTTATTGCTTTTTAACACTGGTCAGAGCATTTTTTTCCAAACTCTGTCACAGTTTGATGATTGATAATATGAATGCACGTGATCAGCCCTGAATGACTAGCGCCTCAGCGATTTACTGAAATTCAATCTTAATCATGAAGATTGAACATGAGAGCAATATGGTAGACGTGAACGTTTAAAAGTTGCCGAGTCCCGGGCAAAAGATCTACATTTAGGCGATCTATTTCACGAAAGCCGAAATTTCTAGAAAGTAACTTAGGCCTAAATTAAATATGAATGAAGTTGAATGACTTATTTAGCTGATGAAATGCGAAGGAAAAGCATGTGCCTAAAAATTTCATGCGAAGGGTTATCGTATTGAACTTAAATCTATTCAGAAAAGGTACTTCTGATCTAAATAGTGTATTTAAGTGCAGCTGATGCAACGAAGCACTGTTACCCGACAATTTTTATTGGAAACCGGAATCTACAGATCTCGTATAGACAACGGATAAGCCGTCCATGATGGTTTAGTATGACAAACACATTTTAAACATCAAAATATTTCAATTTCTGAATTCGGTAGACATTTATAGCGAGAAAATTACAACAAACCTTTGTGATACTTTTTAGCGTCAAGTTTTACATTGACTTTCATCATAATTTCCTTTCAGCAGTTTCCCGGAGGTGCATAGAGCGAAAATACGATTGTCAAATTTCGGCATACTTCACCCAAAGACATGAGTTCACTCACGTAAACCTGTGTTAATTGGCGGGAGAGCAGAGGAATGATTTGACTGTAATTTAGTATGAAACTATATCAATTTGGGGGGTTCATTGAACAGCCATTTTCCTTGCCACTAAGGTTACAATGGTTTTTGGGTGTTCACAGAGTTGAATTGAAATCACTGTTAAGAGATAGATATCCCGTTGTGATTTTTTCACTAGATAAAGAAATCAGGCAAGCATGCATGCCTATATAAAGCTCACAGAGTTCGTACTTACTCTCTTTCGGTGTTTTGAATGAACACTCACTAACTCACTCTCAATCATCTAGTCAATCATCGTCAACATCATAGGATGTAGTGTAACAAACTCAACGAGGCAAACATTTCCTCCCTCTCTCGGTCTCTTCTGCTAATACTGACCACCTAGGGTGTGAGATGCAGGTGTTTAACATCTGTACGATTTGTTTGAGCTACTTGAAGAACACACTTCTTTTTGAAATTGCGCACCTGAGAGAAAAAAAACCCGACCACTTAGAATTTTCCAGATTCCTCAAGTACAAGTGTATCTACTCTCTCATCACGCGCACTAACCCCCATTGAAGATTCAGGAGAAATTAGAACCATCACGAAACAAACGGAACATTATGTTTTTCGAATAGTTCAATTATATGAACATGTTTACAAATTAGTGTGGTCTCGTAGTGCATGATACAATGCAACACGACGCATTTTCTAATTTGTGTCCCTCTCTCTCATTCCAGTCCAGATTATTGGGACCAATCTGAAAGGATTGAATGGTGAGGAGCAAAGGAATTGTATTTTATCTAACAGATGGTCGTCTTAAATACTGCCTGATGCTATCAGGCAGCGCTCCCTCTTGCTCTAGTACAGAACGTATACGGGGGGTGGGGGTGGAGAGGGAGTTGTGTGTGTGCGTTTGCTCGAGGTGCATCACCGTCTTCACTCATTCATCGAATCATTCGGCACGAGGCCAACGAGCGTTAGCATCTATCCGTAGGCAACGTTTCGTTTGGACGGGCGTCAGAACGAGGACACATGGAGGAGGAGGAGAAACGATTAGCCACGTGTATTTTGTTCCTAATCTGATTTCATTTTGAGACCAGTAGTTCCGAAGTAATCGTCTTAGCAGTTTGACTCATTCACTTACTCATCGCAGCCGACCCACTGTACTCGATCCCACCACCTTACGCGATGGTCCGGGCCACAATGTATACGTGTACTGAACGACAGATGGGAATATGCATCTTTCGCAAATTCGTCAACTTGGTTAATCAGTGACATTCCCACTTGCTGTGATGCTATCTAACCGGTGCCAATACTGCTCGTGTGTGAGTGAGTGAGCATATCTGCTCAATGAATGTTGGATAAAAATCAGCGCACAAATTTCAGGATCTATTGATTTGCTAGTAATTCTCATTTGGCTGTCTAGACTCTCCCCGCTTTATCGGAGGAATCTCGCAAAAAAAATCAACCATGTATCATGTTGCACAAACCGGCGTAAAAGTGAAAGTAGTTCAAACCATAGGCCAGGACTCAAGGTCATTGGACATAGCAGATTCCTTCAGTGAAGTTCCGACGCTAAAATCTACCGCATCAGCTTCATTGAAGTACTGCTTACCAACAGTTCGTGTTTATTAGATTAATGAGGACGGGAAAAATGATTTCGTTCATTCAGGTCATCTGGACAAAAGCTACTGCTGTTATAATACAATGGATAAATATTTTTCACTCCCGAACAGAAGAAAGACCCAGGGGAGGTTGTAAGTACGTCCACAGTTATATTTTGTCCGTGTTTACCCACTAGACAGGTTACAAAATTTGCAGTCAGTTTGACAGGTACGATCAGTGTCTGCCAGACGGATAAAGACAATGTAAATTTTTGATGACTCTCACTGTCTTTTCTTCCATAGTTCATCCCCGTCCATTCAAGGTTCGACAAAGATGGTTAATGTTTGATAAACATGAAACGCTAAGCGGGGAAGCTATTTAGAACCGTAGTACACACACGCAGAAATAAACCGGTCATCTCGTTCAGCTTGACAATTTAAGCTCAGTTTAGTTACCAAAAAATTGTCCATTTTCAAGCAACAATATTTCAGGTTGGAAATGTTTGTGATAACCTACAAGCTGCACTGCACAGCTATTTCGTCCTGTTTAGTGCCTCTTAACAATCGAATGGGTGATTCCAAGCCTCCTACTCTAATATTTCAGGCTATTTATTGGAACGAAGTTGAGCATACTTCAGCAATGTTATGCACATTCTGACAACCGTCTAATCGCAATTTTGTTCCCAAAAGGAGGCATCCTTGGAGTTATAGTTTTCAATTTCTTTCCAATAGCAAAATTTATCTGAACATCAACTCCAGTCATCTTTCGTGACTGAAGTTTAATAAGCACTGTTTGACGACTATAAGTATTGAATACATTGTTTGTGTACTGGATAGAAGAACATTTACAATGATTGAAATTTATTCAAAGACTTTTGTTGAATTCTTCGTATTTTGTCTCACCTCGTTTACTCCGAGGAACGAGTCGATAAGCACCAAAATGGGCGGTATTTTCACCCTCAATTTAGTCATATGAATTCAACACAACGCGGACGTCTTGTGATACATTTATTGGACTAGAACTTAAGTGTCCGTCAAATGTCCACTACGGTGCCTCTTGGGTCCCTGATAGATATGGGATATTTATTGATCGAAGAAAGAGTTCATTATGTTCATTTTTGCCTGATTTTATGCGCAAAAGAAACGAGACAGGCCAAATTTTAGAAACATTCGTGAAACCGCGGAGTGCTACTCTAATATTGCGCGCTGACAACGGATGTCTTTGTGTTGTCTTTTAAGTGACTATAGCTGTGTTTGTGCTTGCATTTGGTGAGCATCAAGTGGATCGTTTAAAACAAATACGCCGAAAATGAGTATGATCAATGGTCGTTTATGGACCAGGTGAATAAAAAAGGTGATTAGAAAAATCCAATTCTGTTGAAGGTTTGGGGAATGTTTCTTCTCGTTACCCATAATGAATTCTTCGATAGGAAGCATTCCTCTGGTATAAGTGAGATCATTTCAAGGATTCATATTGCGAAATTGTCTATGCGCACCAACTAATAGCTGCTGATATGACGTGCACTCATAATCCTACTTTTATAACCAACCAATAAGAAATCGTTTTTGCACACCCAATGGTTTGCCTCCCTCGAAGTGATCTTACGAGTGCTTTCCCCTTATCAATGAATTGTTATCAAACAATAAATCATGCGGATGGAAATGCATTGCTCGATTCTGATTAAGCGAGATATTTTACGTCATCGTGGTCACATTCTGAAGCAATTTCTAGATCTCCTCAGAGTGAGATGTCCTGGACGTGTTTTACGCATGTCAACGGATGGGCCTTTTCTACTTGCAATGTTTGTCGAGGTAGGTCGTGGGTGGAATGCTAGACAAAACTAAGCTCTAGCATTAGGGTTTACTACCACAGACTAAGGGACTGGGAAAAATGGGCCACTTTATGCTTCCCCTATTGGGGACCTCGGGATTGGTCGAATCAACAAATAGAGACACAAAAGCACACGGTTGAATGCGGAGAACACTTGGTAGCTAGCTACTCGCGTAGCTGCTCAATTTTTCCTCAACTTCAGTTCCCCTACATTATGTATTGTTTTACTTTGTCCCTTTTCTTTCATTCATATATGCAACCAAGAGGCGGTAACATTGGTGCCATGTCATGGCGTATGAGTAATAATTTGATGCAGTGAACCGAGTTGACCTAATGACATTAAGTGGTACCGCTCGAATAAGGAATTTACGGTGGAGTAATCATCATTTCTCAAAGTGAACCAACAAAAATCATCGCATTTTGGTTTTAGCTTTCAAAAATCTGAACAGCGTGAGTGAAATTTCTGGGATAACAAAGTAAATATCAATTTTTCTTGGGGGTTTTAATTAAATAAATTATCAACCTTTAGAAAGAACGTTACCCTCTTAATTACAAGTAAGGATCTGATTAATCATGAGCACTGGATGTTACTTGACGCGTACTAACTCAAAGCAGTATTGACAATAGTGATCACAAAAAAACATCATGTTCTCGCTACCTCTGTTTTTATTCTTGGTATATGCACTCTACCCATATCGATTCCGTTTAGCATTAAACCGCTTGGTGCTGGCTCACGTCACGATCAAAATGTGAAATCAAATCCCAGCAAACGCCACCGAGAACGTCTGAATTCCGAGCTGGAACACCTGGCCAGCCTGCTCCCATTTGAACAGAATGTTATCGTTAAACTGGACAAGCTATCCATCCTGCGGTTAGCCGTATCCTATCTCCGAATGAAATGTTACTTCCAATGTGAGTTTGTTGCTACTGTTTGAGCAGTTTTATACACTGATGATTTGACTGTGCCAAATGAAAGTAGAACGAGCAAATTTCTCAGTACCGGAATGGAACTGCTAGTAACCACAGTTCAATCCTTTTAACTTGGGTAAGGATTGTGCTGTTCAATATGCTGATGAGCCATATATATGTCAATGCTGTGTGCAAGGGGGTCATTGGAACGAAAAAAACTCGCATGTGATTTATTGATATTAGCTTAAACTGAATTAAAATTTGAATGAAATAATCTGTTCTCAAATTGAGTTATACCAGTATCAAGTTAAGTTGTCCTGTTACCACATGGACAGTCAAGTAGAGACGGGATACCTCAAATTAAAAACAAATTGTAAAATCTCTTCCCGTGTTTTACTTGGTTCCCGGAGAAATCGCCGATGTATTGGGCCTAATTCAATCTATGCAGTGATTCTTGATTTTGTGTGATTCAATTCGAAGCCGCTTCGTGTTTAAACTTGAATGAATTTCCCGCGCGTGAGACATCATTGAAGGTCTCGAATTATACTATCTTGGTTCTGATGCTATGTCTCTTTGAATCATTGTAATTAGAATCTGCTAAAATAGCTGACTATCGAAGCGATTGACAATTCTGGCTGTTTTACGTTCTAAATTTCTCTTTATAAAGATTATCTTCAGATGACCGTTTTGCAGTTATTATCTATGGTGCACATGTTGGAATGATGGTATCTTATTTCACGGAACCACAAAAAAATGCCTTGAAAAGTTTCTGTGAACAAGTTTCCTGCCATGTGCTTTTCAATGAACCGGTTCTACGAGTTTAAAGGTATGGCATATGCCACCATTGTTTTCAAAAGTGCCCGTGCGTTTGCAGATATGTGCTTCAGTTTGCCACAGGTGGACGACTTGACCTCTGTTTACTCTGATAAAATCTTCGGAAACGGGACGGCAGGTGAGCATTTTCATTCCTTCTGCGAAACAGGGTTGTCGCGGTCGAAGGGAAGGAAATGACAGTATGTTTTGCACCCACTCGTGGAATTTCATGAACCAATAGGAGACCAAAATATATGCGTGTGATACACCTCTGCTGTTTAGTTTCTCCTCGGCTGAAATTGTTACTCGAATGCACGCTCACTGCCCCCTAATCCGACACACTGGTATCTGATCATCCCGGTCATGGTGTGGTCACGTGGACAGCATTCAAAATTGAACTCTGTCAGAGAAACCTCTCTTGTTTCTCGAGGGCACTGAAGGGATAGATAAATTTAGTCTGGTGTACCCCTGTGAGCTTTTCGTCTCCTAATCGGCGGTCTCAATGTTTTTGAAGCACGAGAGTGAAATAGAAAAAGAAGGACGATAGCCAAATAGTTACCAAACGTCACGTGTTGCTCTTCTGTTTATAATAAATATGGAATATGAGGAATGAGGAGGGATGATGGGTGCGACTGGTTTCAAAGCGTAGGTTCTTGAGGGTGAATGACCGCTTTTGTTTTTATACCAAAATAGTGCTGAACAGGAATACGTTTAGCAATGAGCTCAAAGTCATGAACCTAAAATGATACATCATCTATTACCTCTGAACTGAGGAAAATGAATGGCCGCGTTGAATAATTCTACCCTTGTTTGTTCATATAATCCCATCTTTTGGTACTTTTATCGCTTATTTACAAGTTGAATTACATCAACTCTATAAAACTAAAGGTTTTCAAGTAAATAGATAGAAATGACGTATCGTATCGATCGAGACATCTATTGTGTTTGGTAGTGTAACCTTTTCCTGAAAGTCATGCTTCCAGCACGGGGATGCTTGAAAGAATCGGTGAAACTTCAAGCTTTCTTAATGTATCCATATTTACGGGACTTTTAGAAAGCATAAAAGCGATCGTCAATGTGCGATAAAGACGGT